TGCCTTGCCTCTTTCCGCCCCGGCCAGACTCCCCCTCTCCGGACCCGAGGTGGGGACCGCGCTCTCTCCAGCGCCGGCGCGCCTCTGTCCGAGGTGCTGAAGCCTGGGCTTCCACGCGGGGAGGGCAGGAGAGAGCGCGCACCCGCGGCGGAGGCAGGAGACGGTCCGGGAGCCGCTTTCCCGGGGCCAGTCCGCACGTCCAAGGTAAACGCCAAGAGCCACCGTGCCCTGCCCTCCCTTCTTCGGCTGTGGGAGCGGAGACGCCTGACCGGCAGGTGGCCTTGGGCTACAAAGCGCCAGCAGCAGGAGGCCCGGAGGAGCCAGGAAACCGCCCTGCAAGCCAAGAGGGGCGATCCACGAGGGCCCGCAGAAATGCAAGGGCGAGGTAGCCTACGGGTGCCCCCTCCCCCGCCCCCGCAGCAATCATCTGACCAGACTGAAGCGCTGGCTTCCACCCTGCTCCCTGCCTTAAGTGGTTAATTTACTGGGTCTGGTCTAGCTGGACCTGGCTCCGGCCTTCCTCCCCTCAGCCCGCAAAAGGGCTTTGCCCCTGGCCGGACTGCAGAGCAAACTGGGCAGTCAGTGGGTCAGGGGAGAGGCCCTCATGAACCCCTTAGTCAGAGCAGGGTCCCTGGTAGCTTCTGACCAGTTCCTCAGTGGGAAGAGCAAGGATGACCCTGGCAGGCCCCGCGCGTGGGGGTGGGGAGTGGAGCAGAGAGCCCAAAGGAGGGCCAGGGGACTCCTTCGGCCTCGCCAAGGTGTGCAGGAAACCCGGCCGAAGGCCTCCAGGCCCGCCTTCCGCTCACTCAGCGGCTTCTGGCGAAGGTCTGAGCGGGGAGCAATGGGGCCCCAAGAGGAAGGGTGCAAGAACTGAGGGAAGGCAACGCGGCATTTGCAGCTGAGCCTCGGCGGTGGGAAAGGACCGTGGGCAAAGCAAACAGCCCCCCCCTCGGTCCAATCGCCTGGCCTCTGGGCAAGCAGGCCAACGTCAGCGGCACGGCGAGGCGAGGCAGCTGCGGAGACTGGGCAAAAGGAAGCCACTGCGTGGCAGCCGCCCTCCCGTGGAAAGGTCAGGGAGGCCGCCCTGCCCAGCTCAGCTGACCCCTGCCTCCCACCGTTAGCATCTCCCTCACAAGGGCCCCACCACTGGAGAAGCCCCCGGCCGGCCTTGGTCCTATTTCCCCGCCCCCCCCCGGGCCCACAGAAGATGGAGCCTGCATTTGACCTGCACCAGAACTCCCTCCCCACCTGATCCTGAGGCGTTTACTCTCCTGGAGGCCTCCTGCACGCAACCCCTTCCTCAACCCCCATCCCGTGGGACAGCATGATAGGTACCTGGGGCCCTTCTGCTCCCCATCGCAGGAGCCCCCCTCCCTCCCTCCCTCCCTCCTGCGGCTGCCATGCAGAGATAACCTGCTTGTGGCTCTCTGGGCCGTGAACAATGCCCCCCCCCCTCCATGAATTCAGGGAAAACTGGAGAAGACAGCGCACATCCTGAGCCCTCTGGGCCATCCTGACCTCCCAAAGGTGTTCAGGGCAGCAACTGGCTCCCTCCCCAACTCCCCTCTCAGGGGCCCAGGGCACTATAGGGGCCTGGAAGAAGCAGCACGGAGGGGGGCTATGGGGAGTGGGCTGCCCCCCCGCACTCCTGAGAAGCACACTGTTGAGGGCAGAGGGGGCTCTGCAGGCCAGCTGATGTTGCCAGAGACCCCCCAGGCCCTCGGGATGGTGTACAGGCTCTGGATCCCAGGGAGTGGGAGAGGCAGAAGCCAGCCTCCCCCACTAGTTGCCCACAGTGGGGGAGAAAAGAAAA